AAGAAAACAATTTTCGATTTAATTATTGCAGAAAATCAAACGTCATAGTTGTGTGATGGACAAAAAATTAGCATTAAATCTAGCATTAATTTTAATCTAATCAAAACATTTTGAAGTTATAAGTTTTTCAGTTAGAAAGAAGAGAAAAAAAAGAGAAATGGTCATCTTCGAATGTTTCCATTCCTTCGTCATTCACGATGCAACTGCCGATGTTCACAGATGACACCCGAAATTTGGCGTTGCAAAGTGTTTTTGAGTGTATATATCTGAGACTTTGTACGTATAGATTTTTGTGTCTGTTTTTGCTGCTAGTAGAGCAAACTGTGGGTGGTGGTATTCGATAACGAGGGACACTGAACGGTCAACCTTTTCGTTGTTGTTGTTGTTGTTGCTGTTGTGCTGTGTCCTCCTGTGATGGTCGTAAAAAAGACGATACAAAACTCATTTTTGTTGGCAAAGTCTTTGTCGTCGTCGGTAATGCAAATGTGTATACATAGCAGTCTCCATTTTTTCGTCCAAAACATCGGTATGTTTGTAAGGCTTCTTTAGCTGCTCTGTTTATAGCAGGATAAGAGGAGAAAGCGAAAAATGAAAAAAAAAAAGAGAGAGAAATCCGCTACAAGAATTAAGCTTAACCGCTATGACAGCGATCTTTCAACGTTTCATTGTATTTGACAAGATGCTACGTAAAATTAATTGAAGAAAGCAGATGAGTAAGGAAGACCTTAGTTGATTCAAGTTAAAGATCATATTGATGACAGCTAACGGTGGAGAGGAAAGCTTTTGAACAAACCAAACAAAGTGGGAAATTGTTCGAAATATGGCTCTATTGATACGGCGACTAACAGTCGATGGCAGAACCTTAAAGAGCAAAAACAAAAAAATTGTTTCGTCTTCAGAAACTTTTGAATGCCAACGATACTGCAGTATAAAGATGAGGAGTCAATGTTCTGATTCTGGAAAACTGTGTCTGTTGTCGCGATGAAACATTTTGATAGTTACCTTTTGCTTTTAAGACGGGAGAACAGCTGAAATCATCGACTGTAATCAATTTGCTATCACCTATTTTTTTTTTTTTTGGGTGTAAACTTTTTTCGTTATAACCTTTCTAATAACTGGTAGTTATCTGTGTAACTATCTGACTAACTGAACACATCTGAGTGGAAGAAAAAAAATTAGATTGGTGAAAAAACTGCTAAGAAATACGTTTAATGGTAAAGTCAAGTTTAAACGGATTAGTGAGCAGTAATAAATACATTGATTCGTTGTTGATAAGGCAGTTTTGTTTGATACTTTAACTTTTCCACTATTTTCTATGCCTTCTTTCTTGCTTTGCAGTTTTTTACACAATAGTTTTTTCATCTGTTTAATATACAGTTATAAATTCTTAATCTTTTTTATTCCTTTAGCTTTGATTGTTACTTTTTCTCGTCTCTCATTTTCCTTTTTGTTGTAGCAATTAAGTTATGGCAAAAAAAAAAGAAAAGAACATTGAAAATAAAATTAACAACAAAATTTGTTTTTCGGTAGAAAAAAGGTCAATAATTGCTTAATTAAATTTCATTTTCTTTGCAATTTACTTTAAAAAAGGTTTGATGTTGTTAATACGATTCGGTATTCAGAAAAGAACTAGTCAAAAATATGTTGCTATTTTCCAGTATGTTTCTTCAAATTTTACCAGTCCTATTAGCTGTCCAACAAGTTTTACCTGCACCTGAAGTCACGACAACAGGCGGAAACATTCACGGAATCATATATGAGCAACAAAATGTTATTGGCTACCTGGGAATTCCATATGCGCTTCCACCGTTAGGTGATCGTAGACTTGAGGTATTCGTGTTTGGCCTTAGAAAGTATAAATCTGATTGCCGGAACTTTTGAATCTGTTGATAGAAACTGAAACTGCTTCTCAGAATTGTATGACTTTGATATACTGCAGCGGCAGCAGCATTGTATCGAAGTGACTCCCGCCATCAGTTTCGTAACCTCTGTTTTAACTTCCAAATATTCCGTTCCATTCGGTTGCTGTACATTAAAGTTTAGGGGGGCTTCTTTGGATAAGAAAAAGGAGAGATTTGAGAAGATTTGGAGCTTGGCATTACGAAAATTTTTAACAATACTCTTTTTCTAAGATAAATTATGTTGTATTTCAAACATCGATACAACAGTTTCACAGAGGTTCTGAAGCAAAATTTTATGGAGGTTTTTTACCGTGAACAAATGCCACAAAAACAGGGACTAAAAATCATATTTGATAACAAGTAATCTTTTTTTCTATTCTTTTTCGGTTGCATATAATCAATTATTCCTCTTAGTTATCAAAAGGAAAAAAATGGAAAATTTTTTTTTTGATAAACATTAAAATAAACTAAAAAAAGGAGCTGAAATTGCGCATTTTTTTTTTTAGGAGGCTGTGGAAAGCGTATCATCAGTAAACAGAATTGAAGCTAACACTTGGCCAAAAAAATGTTTCAATTTCAAAACAAAGTTGGAGATGAGTACTAAATCTGAGGACTGTCTATATTTGAGCATTTTGCTTCCAAAAGTCAATGGAGGTACTAAAAACACCGAAAAGGTTTGATAGATTAAATTTCATATTTAAAACTTTGATAATTAATAAAATATTTTGTTTAATTTAAAGACAAAAAAAAGTGGAAACAAAATTAGCTTGTGACGCTCAAAGAACACCGAATAAATTTATCAAATTAGGAACTGAATGAGCAAAAGAAGAAAAGCAAAATTCATGTGACCGCCTAAGATTCTATATATTTATAGTCATTATATGGTGTAAAACAAAACTTAAAAATTTGACTTTGTTGCACTTTATTATATTTATTCAGATATCTTCAAAAATTACAAAGCCAAACTTTGTACTCTTTCTTTTTTTGTTTGGCTTTCGTTGACCTAAAAGCTTGAACTGTTCTTCTTTTCACTCGTTAATCTTTCTATTGTTAAAACTGATCTACAGTTGTTTAAAATTGATAGAACTCTAACTTCACATAGAACCAGTCCATTTTGTCATCAAACAACTATGTTGGTACAAAAATCAAAAGTTTTGCCAGATAACAATCAAAAAAAAATAGTTTATTTTACAGCCATAAAAGAATACTTTTGTGAAACTAAAGAAGTACAATTTATAGCTTCATCTATTGGTAATATTTACAAATGATGATTTTGAAGAAACTACTTTACTAAACTTTACCACCAAAAATTTGGCAATTGCTGTTGTACATTTTCGTCAAGGACCACTAGGTAAGCAACCAATTTTGGACTAAAAAAAGATGAAGCTAACCAAAAATGAAAGAATGCTACTAATTTTTCACATAATAAAGGAAAAGCTGTTTTGTTTGAAAAATTGCAGAATTTACTAAGAGTTTTAAGCATATTTAAGATTTGACCTAAAACATTTTAGGGTTTTTTGCTGATAAAAATCTCGGTGTTACCGATGTACAAATGGCCATTCAATGGTTAAACAAAAATCAACAAATTTTTGGTTATAGTGATTTAACACTGTTAGCTGAAAATGATGATGCAGCTTTACTGGCATATGCCTTAGCTGAAACAGGTTTGACAGTTAATTTTTACAGCAATTTTCAGTAGTTAAATAGCAGGAAAAAAAGATGAAACCTTTTCATATCATTTTGTACTATGTAGCTTACTGGCAGTTTAACCAGTTTTAATGTTTTTGTCATTCAGATAGTTCATCATAGATTGTACTGGTCATTTGTTTGTTACAGAGATCAATTTTGCCCGAGCCATATTGTTGAATGGTAACACAGCAACACGACGTTTCAATCCCGAATATCGTCGACTGAAAGGAACCCTAAGATTTCTGAAAGCTTTAGATTGTCTTAAAGATAAAGCAGACGAGACAAAGGCCTGTTTAAAAGTTACATCAATTGATCGAATAGTTCAGGCTGTACCCAGTTCGGTTAGTCAGAGCCTCAATAATAATCTTTAAAATTCAATATATAACATATTTTTTTCGTTCTTCAACGAAATAAAGAAAGTAAAACAACCAATACAGATGATGTTTAACCGATACAATGCAAAGGAATCAGATTCGGCGATATATTTTTTTTGCAGAAAAATTTAGACATCTATGGAGCTTCTTTTAAACCAAAGAAACAAAGCAAAAGCAGAATTTACCCAGTGCTTATTGGGTTTCAATCATCGCTGCCGCAAGGTTCTTTAATTTCTATTATATCGTATAAAAACCAAACCTATTCTTGTGATTATCAGCAGAAGAACCTTTTTTCTTTTACTAAACAAGCATACAAATGTATAAACATTACTGAAGGAAGTTCTTGGAATTTTTAGTCAGATTAAAGATATTAAACCGAGGTAAAATTACAGTGAAGTGTATGAACAGAGTTATCTTTTGTCATACATTAACTGGGTACACATGCTAAATTTTTTGTTAACACTTACTATTTCAGTGGTACATTTACCTTTCACTGACAGTTTCATAAACAGTCATTTTATATGCTTAACAAATAAAAATCTATTTGTTGACAAAACATTTAGATTACAAGACAGATGAAGACTTTCAAGTTACTTATAAAAGAGAAGATTTCGACAAATTTATGGACAAATTTTTCCGGGAAACAGAATTTAAGAATGTAAACCTTTTAAAACAGTTGGCCTACTACCACTATTTGGAAAGAGATTTGATTAGTCCAGATACGTATGCATTATGGCGAGCAACCAGAAAGGTTCAACCAATATATTGATATCCCTTCCGTCTTTCCGTGTATTTTGTTTCACATATGCCAAGAAATTTGATCAGCAAAAAAAAGAAATGTGCTAATTAAAACTAATTCTGTTTTTTCTTTTCAGATGTTACTTGATCGTGATTTTCTTGTTCCAACAAGAAATTTACTTTCTTCATTGAAGCCTACGACTAATCCTGTTTATGTGTTAGAATATGATGCTGAAAATCCAATAGCTAAGTGTTTGCAGTTGAGAACTCACCAATTTATGGCAGCATTTTGTTCACGTGTTTGGAATTATTTTACCCGTTATGCTATACATGGGTGACAACTTCTTCTTTCTCTTTTCTTCTTTTTACTTACAGTTTCAAAGTTTCTTAAATTCACTTTTAATAAATTAAATTGCTAACAGCAATTCTAATTTGCTGACACAGATTATGCATAGGATTTAATGTTGGTTTTCTTTCACTTTTGGGAAAACAATAAACTATTTATTTATGTAGAGAACCAGCAGAAAATAAATGCGATTTAAAAGATCCATCATGGCCAAAATTGGGATCCAAAAAACGTAATTACTATTTAAAGGTAGATGCAGAAGGCGAAGTTACCTGGCAGTCTAAATTCTATCAACCAGCGTTTGCATTCTGGAAAACTTTGGTCAGTTTTAGATGTTCCCCAAAATTTTGGTACATTTAATCGAAATGACGCTTATCGTCCATGCCCGATAACTTACTTTTCCTTACTGCTTTCAGATACCAATGATCGAAAATCTAAAGCTTCAGAATACACCGAAAATCGCCACAAATAATCGATCGTCAAAGACTGAACTCTAACTGTTTTGGTTGGTCAAATTCTCCTCCATTACTTATAGAACTATCAATAGTTTAATCCAAGAATCCCTTAGCAAGTTATTGGTTTATTTCTCGTACTTTTTAGAACAAATTTTTGCCGTCCACAAGAGAAGCAACAACAAACAGTCCTGAAGACTGTTCAATATCTTATTTGGATGTGGATATTCAGTAAAATCTTTGAGACTCAGGTTAAAAATAATGACGAAACAAATATGTTTCAATCTTGTTTTCTGTCTTACGCTCAAGCTTATCGTAGTTGTTTTTGCATGTATTCAGTTGTTTTTGGCTACAATTTGATTGCTGCATACAGGTTTATTACAAATGTACATCAATACTAAACACTGTATGTATGTGACATTATTTGTTAACAATTACTGATCCTAAAATAGTTCAAACAACAAAAAACTAATAAAAAATGAAAGGAAACAGTAAAGAAACACATACAATTAGCAGTGATCAAAAAACAAAATTGAGTTAATAAGACAAAAATAAAACAGTTGAAAAGAAGAAGTACCCGTAATTGTTCAGGTTGTTTTTTTCTTTTGTTTTACTCAACCTGATACAATAAAATTAGAAAAAAAACCTTTCATACAAATGTAAATACAAAAAATTAACCACATATAAAATACTGTTTATTCTTCTGTTCTCTCACTGTGTTATGTTTTATTGTTTTTTTTTCTTTTTTTTAGCGATTTGGAATTGAATTCCACTAACGACATATTTAACTGCTGATTTTAGGTTTTTTTGTTGATTAGACCCGTTCAATCTTGTAGTTGCTATAATACCAATTATTTCCTCGTTCTTCTTTTTTGTTCTTCTGTTATTGTTTTTTTTTTTTTGTGTTTACAAAGTCATTGCTTTTAGAATATTCAAAAGTTGTTTCTTTTTGTGAAAATTCTGTACAATTTTAAAATATAAAAAAAAAAAAATAAAAAGAAAACATACCAACCAATCCTAAAATTTCTTCTTTTCTAAATACAACGCAAAAATTCCGTACCATGGCGTCGGTATAGTTTTTTTTTTGCTGTTGTGATTAAAACTTTTTTTGGGAGAGGTAGCTATGCTTACAAAAGAAAAAAAAAAGTAGATTAATCAAAAATTTCTATAAAAAAACAGACTCTGTCTGATATACAAAAAAGATGCAAAAAAAAGTAGTTTAACTATGTTTAGTTTGCAAAAAGAAAAAAAAAAAAAAGAAAAAATGAAGAAAATTGTAGAAAATAAGTAGTGTTACCCATATTGGCATAAGACTTGATGAAAGCTTTCTCTCATTAAAATATTTTTCTTGCCTATAATGCTGTTTCTTTCACTTAAACAACAACAAAAAAAGTGTTGACAAAAGTACTTTTTTTCACTTCAAATAACGCTAAGTTTTTGGTAGTTTTATAGCGCTTTACACTTCCATAAAAAATCCTACCAAATATTCAATTCTATCAAACAAAGTTTACAAATAAACATACGAAAAACCCTCCTAAAATTCTACCATATTACCATTTAAATCTCAATTTTTATCTTTTCTTAATCAAACTTTATTCACAAATAATACTTCTGCTCGTTGTTCAATTATTTTCGAAACGAAAAAAAAAAGTAAAAAAATTACTTGGCGTACGGAAGGCAAGTTAATGTCAGTGTTAAATTACACAATATTTGTCGAACAGTTCAACTAATCTAAATTAAGTAAATACTGCTAAATTTCTGTTCAAATAACAAAGGCAAAAAAAAGGAGCAAAATACTGAAACAAATTATGAGAAGTGGAAAACAAGATGTTAATAGATGAAATTTGTCGCTAGAAATTTCAACGTTACCGTCAAGGTATTCGACGATCCCTACAAACATCTGGAGTCGGTACAATAGTTTTCCTAAAGCCTGGTCCAAGACCACTGTATGATCTTAGAAACATTGCCGGATACAAGGTGATACGATTCTGTGTTCCTCGGCGTAAGCAGTATAATGCCGTTAACATATAGCATAACAGAAAGCAACTGAAAAGACGGTGTCTGTTAGTGGAAAACACTAAAGATCGAACTGCTTAAATGACTTTAAGTGCTTCTAGATACGAGGCAGCAAGCATCTGTATTCTTGAGCAATTAGCCTTAAAAGTTGTTCAGTGCAATGACTCTTTACCACACGTTATATATCAGTAGAAGAATCGTGAAAGAACAAAAAAAAATTTACCATGTTGCTAGACTGCCAACAAGAAACCAAAGCATAGCGCTTTGAGATGCAAAATTTCGGCATGTGGTTACTGAAACGGTATCTACGGCTTTTGGATGAGCTGAAAGCAGAACAGTAATTACCACCATCAGTTTAGCAAAAATACTGGTTCAGTTTATCCCGCAATTGTTTGCTGGTTAATTTTTATCCTCTGTTATTGAATTTTCCAATTTTGTTTACCATAAACAACTGTTTACCAGAAGTCTTATTCGACTCAACACCTAATTTGATAAGCATCAAACAAACGAATAAGCAGCAAAAAAAGAAAAATTTACCTTCAACATATATTTTTGCGCTTGTTCGTCCAGCAAAATTTGAAATTACACATTCATATTGACCGATATCTTCGTTTAAAAAACGCCGAAATCGTAACGTTGAATTAAATGCACTGATACGATCGGATGCAAAATCTAATGGCTTACCATTCTAAAAAAAAAAAGTTAAACCGACTCTTTAATTATTCAATTTAATAGTATATTGCGAAAGCAAAAAAGAAAAATAATTGTTTTTTTTTTTT